CATGGCAAACCTCTAGCTGAGCCTTTCTTCAAACTCTCCAATGGTCTCTTGGGCTCTCAGCTGGCTCTTTCCCATGACCTTCTAGTGACCCCTTGGGAAAACAGCTGGCTCTTTCCCACACATTTATCAGCTGTCAATCAGATTCCTCACTTGTCTCACACACTCGCATTGATTGCCCTATGTTTTCTTTGGGAATGACTTGTCACATGTTTTTTGAAAAAGTATCCCACCATCACCACATTTTATTAAACGAGCACATTTATGTACCAGAATGAAAAACAAAGCCGTAGTTTCTCTGTCCCTCAGGTACTGATAACCCTATAGCAGTGGTTCTCAACCTGTGGGTCTCGAGATGTTTTGGCCTTCAATTCCCAGAAATGCTAACAGCTGGTAAACCGACAGGGGTTTCTGGGAGTTGTAGGCCAAAAACACCTGAGAACCACTGCCCTATGGCAACCCCTCGAGTGGTTCTACTGTGTTCTGACTAGTTGCAACTCCCATAATCTCCAGCGTTCCTAGCAAAGGGGCGTGGATGTTAGGAGAAGCATTATGGGAAGTAGGATGATCCCTCTGGCTGGTTTGGAGGAACACCATTCCTTTGGCCGTGGATAGGAATTCTGAGTGTCTTTGGATCCTATTTCCATCATCCTCTATTATCCCTGCAAAGATCGCCAGTATTTTAATTTGGGTCACAATAGGTATATGTGTCAAATTTGGTCCTGATCCATTGTCAGTGGGATTCACTTGGCTCTCTTGATCTGGGTGGACTATAGTTTCCAACATCCTGTTTCCTCCTCCCTCTAAAGCAGTGGTTCCCAACTTTTGGTAATTCAGGGGTTTTCCAGAAATCCTAGCCAGCTTACCTGGACGACCAAAGCTGACCAGTATCTTAAATTGGATTATGAAGTGTAGGTGAGCCAAGGTTGGTCCAGATCTATCGTTGGTGGGATTAACACAGCTCTCTGGATGTGGGTGGACTACAACTCCCATAATCCCCTTTCAATCTCCTTTCCCCAAAGAAGACTACCATTATTTTTGTTGGACCTTGGCATACTGTTGTTTATGTACCAAATTAGGCCCTGACTCATCAAACTGTGTAGGAGCCTTTGTAGATCAAACATACATAATTAATTATAGACGTATTTCGACTTGTATATATATATGTGTATATATAGATTTTAAATACCCTTTACATTCCATTTCCTATATCTTTATTCCCCCATCATGTCCTTACTTTTTAAGAGATCCCCTTGCTTCTCATTAATGCTTGTTCTGCCAGTTGTGTCCCTATCTATTTCATACTGCTCTTTCCTAATTGCTTCCACCTACACATTCCAATATCCCCATCTCGCCTCCCTTCCTTGTCCTATTCCCCCTCAATTCTGTATAAATGCAAGGGACAGGAGACTCCTGAGGGATTATTTACTCTGAAGACTTTGCCAGTTGAATCGGGAGGAGCCCAAAATGGTAAGAGGTGTAATTATTATTTTTGTATATCTAAATAACCTAAGGAGCCCCCGGTGGCGCAGTGGGTTAAAGCACTGAGCTGCTGAGCTTGTTGATCAAAAGGTCGCAGGTTCGATTCCGGGGAGCGGCGTGAGCTTCCGCTGTCAGCCCTAGCTTCTGCCAACCTAGCAGTTCGAAAACATGCAAATGTGAGTAGATCAATAGGTACCGCTCTGGCGGGAAGGTAACGGCGCTCCATGCAGTCATGCCGGCCACATGACCTTGGAGGTGTCTACGGACAACGCTGGCTCTTCGGCTTAGAAATGGAGATGAGCACCACACCCCAGAGTCAGACATGACTGGACTTGGTGTCAGGGGACTACCTTTATCTTTACCTAAATAACCTGAAAGCACTGGAATCCTGTCGGTTCTTGGTAGCAAAGTAGAACCAGTCCTGGTTGGTACTTGGAAGGAGAGACTGTATTCCAGAAGAAGAAGGTGGCAACACCATCTCTTGAGTATCCCTTACCTAGTAAATTTATTTATTTATTTATTTTGAATATCTGTACCTCGCCCTTCTCAACCCCTGGGGGGGGGGCGCGCTCAGGGCGGCTTCCAATCAGCAGTAATTCAATACCTCAATTTATTTATTTATTTATTGTATTTGTAGGCGACTCAAGGCGGTTAACAGGGTAAAATTCAATGTTTACAATATCATAAATATAATTAAAAACATAACATATAATAAAAACTAAACAAATCAATAAAATATAAATTCATAGTGTCTCCTTGTTAAAAACGTTGTCCGGTCTCGTCGTCATTCCATTTTCCTGTGTCAGTTACTCTGCATTTGGAAACGCTTGTTCAAAAAGCCACGTCTTGACTTTTTTCCTGAATGTGGCCGATCTAATATCTATAGGGAGATATCTATAGTCGAGGGGCAGCCACCAAGAAGGCTCTGTCTCTCAACTCCGCCAAACACTTGTGACGAAGGCAGTAATGAGAGCAGGGCCTCCCCAGATGATCTTAAGGTCCTACATGGTTCATAATGGGAGATGCATTCGGATTTTATATATATACTAGCTGTACCCGCCACGCGTTGCTGTGGCCAACCTTCCCTCCCTCTTTCTCTCCTTCCTTTCCTCTTTTTCTTTCCCTTCCTATTTATCTTCCTATTTATCCTATTTATGGCCCAACTTATCTATCCGAACGTATCTCAGCCTATCAGCCCACCAGGACCCTAAGATCTTCTGGAGAGTCCCTTCTCTCTATCCCTCCAGCTTCAGAAGTGCGGCTGGCGGGAACGAGAGACAGGGCCTTCTCTGTGGTGGCCCCCCGGCTTTGGAACACCCTCCCTATAGAGGTACGATCAGCCTCTTCGCTGATGGTGTTTAGGAAGAGATTGAAAACATGGTTGTTTAAACAAGCATTCGGCTAATCTGTGGCAATCGAATTTTGATGACTAAGGACAGGAAATATGGACAACGAATTCTGGATTATGATTTTAATTCGAGATATATGGGATTATTATTGGTGGCCCAATAATCTGTACTGTATGTGTATATGTTTTTAAATTGGAGATTGTTTTTTAATTGCTGTAAACCGCAATGAGTCGCCGATCCAGGCTGAGATATTAGCGGTATACAAGTGTATTAAATAAATAAATAAATAAATAAATCTTCTTTTTTCTTCCATCTCTACCTGTTTCTTTCCTCCCTTTGTTTGCTCTTCGGTTACATCCTTCCTTCCCTGTATTTTTCCTTTCACTTTTTTATTTCCTTCTCTTCTTTCTTGCTTCTCTACCTTTCTTTCTTTCCTTCCTTCTTTCCCGCCCTCTCTCCTTCTCTCTTTCCCCTCTTTCCCTCCTTCTCTCGTTACTTCTTGACTGTCCCTTCCAACTCTATTATGTAAGTCTATTTAATTTGTATCATGTAGTAATATATAATAGTAATATATTATATAGTAATCTATATAACAATATATAAAATATTGTATTTATATCTTACATAGAAAGAAGGAAAGGAAGATGGAAGGAAGGAAAAAGTAAGGGAGGGAAGGGAGGAGGGAACGAAGGGAGGGAAGGAAAGGAAAGAAGGAGGGACAGGAAGGAAGGAAAAGGGAAGGAAGGAAAGGAAGAAGGAAGGAAGGAGGGAGGAGGGAGGAGGGAAAGGGGGATGAAGAAAGGAGGAAGGGAAGGAAATTAAGGCGAAGGAAATGAAGAAAGGGAAAGAAGGAGGAAAGGAAAGAAGGAAAGGAAGAAGGGACGGGAAGGAAGGGAAGGAGGGAAAGAAGGAAATGAAGGAGAAGGAAGGGAAGGAAGGAGGGACAGGAAGAAAGGAGGGAGGAAGGATAGGAAGAAGGAAGGAAGAAAAGGAAAGAAAGGGAGGAAAGAAGGGAAGGGAGTGAGGCAGAGAAGGAGTGGAGTGTGGCAGAGGCAGTTAATGGATGTTAATAGGAGAGAGAGAGGGAGGGAGTTAAATGCTTTTTGTTTTCATTGTTTTTTTGAGTGGAGAACATACATTGGGTTGTTAGGGACATAGTGTCCAAATTTGGTGACAATTGCCCTAGTGGTTTTTGAGTTCTGTGAATACCACAAATGAACATTACATTATATATATATATATATACACACACATACATATACACACACACACACACATACATAATAAAAACAAACAGTCAATAATTATAAATAGTTAAAAATATTAAAACAATACAATTAAAATCTACTAAGAATTACCACTTTGGTAGCCATTATTACCCGAAAACTGTGGTTGGATGCTCCATCAAACTTATCCATTATCCATTTCCAAGCCATTGTAAACATTGTTATTGTCATTGTCTGCTTAATTACCCAAAGGCCTGGTGCCACATCCACATTTTTAACTTTTTTCTAAAGGTGAGGAGGGATGAAGATGACCTAATTTTCCCGGGGAGTGAGTTCCATAGGCAGGGGGTGACCACGGAGAAGGCCCTGTCCCTCGTCCCTGCTAAACGTGTTTGAAACAGAGGCGGGGCGGAGAGCAGGGCCTCCCCAGAAGATCTTAAACTCTGAGGTGCATCAAGTAGGGCTGGAAGACCTAGGAAATGCCTAGAGAGGTTCCATGTCTTATGTGGATCAATGACATCATGACAGTGAGTTAAACCCCTGTGCCAGAAGGACTGAAGACCGACAGGTCGCAGGTTCAAATCCGGGGAGAAGCAGATGAGCTCCCTCTATCAGCTCCAGCTCCTCATGCGGGGACATGAGAGAAGCCTCCCACAAGGACGATAAAACATCAAATTATCCAGGCGTCCCCTGGGCAACATCCTTGCAGACGGCCAATTCTCTCACACCAGAAGCGACTTGAAGCGACTTGCAGTTTCTCAGGTCGCTCCTGACACGACAAAAAAAAAATCATGGGTATTGGCCCCATAGATATGGCGTAGAGAGCACACAATTGCGTAAAGAATGTATAAAGCGTCAGTAGAGTTGGGTGGTTTGAGAGTTGGACTGTGACTCTGGAGACTCGAGTTTGAATCCTCTTGCTCAACAATTCAGACCCACTGGCAAATCATGGGTGTGTCACACTCTCTCAGCCTCAGAGGAAGGCAAACAAACCGTGCCAAGAAATTGGTAAGTGATATGTTTGCCTTTTGGGCACCCAGCCTGAGACACGATCAGAAGGCAAGCAACGACAAGAGGCAATAAAATAATACTGTCTTCTTCCTGGTGCCTCTATTTCAGATTGCTCCTCTCCAGCTGGGTGTCTTCTCCATTGCACTGGCCTTGTGCCATGGATACTGCCAAACGGACTATCTCAAACCTATTCTTAAATACGGTAAGGTGGCCAAGCATGTTAGGCAAATAACGGCCTAATGATCCACAAAGGTCAAGCGCCATGCCTCTTACAAAGGTGTACCTGGGCAGGGGTTGCCAACCATGCTTGCAGCTTGACCCCACTTGACCTGCCCTGGCTCAATGCTATGGAATCCTGGGAGTGGTAGTTTTGCAAGGCCTTTCTGCTTCTCAGTTAAGAAGAAGGCTTGTGCTTCACCAAAATACAATTCCATATCATGGCATTTCATGTGGGGTTACACTGAAATTTGTTGTTGTTTATTCATTCTGTTGCTTCTGACTCTTTGTGACCTCATGGGCCAGCTCATGTCACAGCTCCTTCAAGGTCAAGCCAGTCACTTCAAGGATACCCTCTGTGCTGTCACGTGCTGGGCCTGTGAAAGAGTCTGTAGACTGGACATGTTTTCTGAATGCCCAACGGGACGCCGGGGGTGCCTCGGCTGAGAGGCCTTTCGGATTTCCCCACACAATGTTCTTTTAAAGACTTAGAAAGTTCAACAATGAAACTGACACGGATTGTAGCATAGGTATTACATTATTTGTCCACATCATCACCATTCAGTTCAAACATTTTGTCACCTGTGGGATGAGATTTGGATGCCTGTGTCATAGAAGTTTCCTTCCTCCTTTTTCAGCCGGTTTGTCACTTTGATTTTCATCTTGTCATTGTTGGAAAAGATTTTTTCCACCCAGATGTTCCTTCAATTTAGTGATCAGGCGGTTGTCACTGAGTGTGAGATCAGGGCTATGAGAGGGGTGGCTGAAAACATCCCAACACAATGAAGTCAACCACTCTTGTGTTGCACGACTGTTATGCAGACGCACATTGTCATGAAGGAGACAGACTCCTGCCATCAGCATTTCACAACATTTGTTTTGGTTGGCTCTGTGAAGTTTCTTCATAGTCTCACAATATATAGTCCATACCCATTTTGTCACATGCTCTCTTGACATTATGTTCTCTCCATAAATCGAAATGATTTTGCGATGAATCACAATGGCGTTCATGCCCTTAGCATTTAGGTAGCATATTACAATGCGAACTTTGCACTTGGAAGTGGAATGAGGATGTTCACCTCTAACCTTCGCCACAATGCCAGTCGTGACAACTAGCACTGCTCATTTTTTTTTGTCCCCAGAGTATTTTTCCCCACCTGTATGAAGGTCTATTTTTACTACCCCGTTCCTTTATGAGTTTCTCCCTCACAAACAATCTGCTCCATCCCTGTCTCATCCTGATTTTAGTATTTTTAGTATTTTATCTTACACAAGCGGCCCGCTCATTGTTATTTTATTGTGTATGAATTTGCTTTATCTTTTTTTTTTGTACTCATATGTTGTATGTATTTTACTGTGTTGTTATTGTGTTTTGGTTTTATTTTATTGTAATATGCTGTTGGGCTTGGCCTCATGTAAGCCACCCCGAGTCCCCATTGGGGAGATGGTGGCAGGGCATTCAATTATTATTATTATTATTATTATTATTATTATTATTATTATTATTTGCTTCAGCTGGCTTCCCGCTACACAGCAGTGATACCAACTTCTCCCTGTGAGAGCTATGTGCCTTGTAACCTAGCTTTCTGGATAACCCTCATAGTCTATTTTAATCCTAGTCTTCTTGCTTTCTTTTCTATTGGTTTTAAAACAATAATTCAATTCTGCAAAATGCAGCGTGTGCGTTGTTCATAAAAACTTCAAATAATTCCTACAAGTCAGTGGATGAGTGAAACATTCTGAAACCTGGAGGGCTTATGGTGGTAAAAGTATGCTACAATTGTAGAAAGTTTCATCCTGATAGCCCTATAAATGATGGAGAAAGGAACCCCAGAACTGTTCCCATTGCCACAAATGGGCAAATAACAACTCGAAAAACTAACAAAATTTACAAACCTTTGTATTCCATACAAAATAAACCCCTTATGAATTTTTCAAATTCTTTAGAAACAAAACAAGGATTGCCAAAATTTTGTAAATACAAATGAAGTGGATTTTTGGCTTGTCAAACACACAGCTAGTGCCAATGGACTAAATGGACGGACCCAGAGGGTGCTCACCAATGCTTCCTCTTCATCCTGGAAAGAAGTGACGAGCGGAGTGCCATCAGCAGGGTTCAGTCCTGGGCCCGGTCCTGTTCAACATCTTTATTAATGACTTAGATGAAGGCTAGAAGGCAGGATCATCAAGTTTGCAGACGACACCAAATTGGGAGGGATAGCCAATACTCCAGAGGACAGGAGCAGGATTCAAAACGATCTTGCAGATTAGAGAGATGGGCCAAAACTAACAAAATGAAGTTCAACAGTGACAAATGCAAGATACTCCACTTTGGCAGGAAAAACAATGCAAAGATACAGAATGGGGACGATGCCTGGCTTGAGAGCAGTACGTGTGAAAAAGATCTTGGAGTCCTCGTGGACAACAAGTTAAACATGAGCCAACAATGTGATGTGGCGGCAAAAAAAGCCAATGGGATTTTGGCCTGCATCAATAGGAGCATAGTGTCTAGATCTAGGGAAGTAATGCTACCCCTCTATTCCACTTCGGTTAGACCACACCTGGAATATTGTGTCCAATTCTGGGCACCACAATTCATAGAATCATAGAATCAAAGAGTTGGAAGAGACCTAATGGGCCATCCAGTCCAACCCCCTGCCAAGAAGCAGGAATATTGCATTCAAATCACCCCTGACAGATGGCCATCCAGCATTCAAGAGAGATATTGACAAGCTGGAATGTGTCCAGAGGAGGGCGACTAAAATGATCAAGGGTCTGGAGAACAAGCCCTATGAGGAGCAGCTTAAGGAGCTGGGCATGTTTAGCTTGAAGAAGAGAAGGATGAGAGGAGATATGATAGCCATGTATAAATATGTGAGAGGAAGCCACAGGGAGGAGGGAGCAAGCTTGTTTACTGCTTCCATGGAGATTAGGACAAGGAACAATGGCTTCAAACTACAAGAAAGGAGATTCCATCTGAACATGAGGAAGAACTTCCTGACTGTGAGAGCCGTTCAGCAGTGGAACTCTCTGCCCCGGAGTGTGGTGGAGGCTCCTTCTTTGGAAGCTTTTAAACAGAGGCTGGATGGCCATCTGTCAGGGGTGATTTGAATGCAATATTCCTGCTTCTTGGCAGGGGGTTGGACTGGATGGCCCATGAGGTCTCTTCCAACTCTTTGCTTCTATGATTCTAATGGAAAAGGATGGAGGGAGCTCTTTCCGGAAATGGTAGCTAGGACACAATTCTAACACATTTTATGACACGATTGTAGACAAAACCAAAGGTTGTTTTCTCTCCCTAGGTAAACCAAGGGAGTATGTGTGTGTCGACATGTATGATGGGACTATTCATCGCATTGGAGATTCGTGGGAAACAGAAAAGTGTATGGAATGTACCTGCAACACAATGGGGCAGCATTGTTGTACCAGGTAGGCAAAGTGTATTCACTTCGAGTTATAGAATCCTAGAGATGGAAGAGACCTCAAGGGCCATCCAGTCCAATTCCCTTCCTCCATTTGGGAAGATACTAATCAAGTCCTCCAGATGGTCATTTAGCCTCTGCTTCAAAACCTCCGGGGAAGGAGACTCCACCGGACTCCCAGGCGGCAGCAGGTTCCAGTGCTAAACCATCAGGAAGTTCTTCCTAATGTTTAGATGGAATCTCATTTCAAGGAGTTGAATATCTTTCTCCATTGGGCCCCAGTCTCTAGGACAGCCCCTTCCTGTATAGGAATCCTTTTAGATACTTAAACATGGCTCTCATGGCTCCTCTCCACCATCTTTTCTCTTCTCCAAGCTAAACATGTCTAACTTTTTAAGCCGCTCTTGAAAGAGACTCACAGTTTCCAGGTCAGGTCTTGTCTGCAAACCCTCCAGCTCATGTCAGATCCTTCTTATTTTTAGATACGGTGGACCTATGAAAATTGAAGGATGCATAGCAAAGGTCGATAAAACAACATGCAAGTATAAGTTCTATAAGGAGGAGAATCCGTCAGAACCATGTTTTGAAGAAGGCGATGAACCTCTGAAATGAATGAAGGGTAAATGAATAAATGAGTTTCTTCATCTAAAACAGACTCTTGCCTTTATTGGCTTTCACTACAAAGCCCATAGCATTTCACTGATAGGAACATTTCAATGGATTCTGAAGTGAAAGCAGATCTAGAGACTTCTCTAGGAATCTCTAAGGCCTCAAAAGTGATTTTGTGGCCACCTTCCTGCAGAAGTTGACCAGAGTCAGTCTGGAAGATCTAAAATTTCCCAGACAGGTCCTCTCAAGCTAAAAAAATTGTTTCAGTTTAATGGGGGTCCGGTGCCCCTAACCTTAGGGAATGTGGGGAACTTGCTGTACCTTTAGAATTGGGTTGAGACACAAATGACCCTCCAGATGGTTGGTGGAGCTTGATTGATATAAACATGGTGGCAGTTTGATCTGAGTTTTGTAGCTTTGGCACTGGATGTCTAAGCATGAAGATGATGGGATTGTGTCTATTTCTAGGCCAGCCAGAGAAAGGATGTTGCAATGTCGAAAAGTCTCCGTTGTTTTGACCCACGCCTAGGGCTCTTTCCCAATATGAGGCAATAGCTGTGTAATATGTCCTGACCTAGGTCAGACAATGTTTCCTTTCCCAGGAGTAAAATAGAACATGTTTAATAAAGTTATAGGAATAAAAGTGGTTTAACACATAGTTTAGGGTTAAGAGGATAGAGAGAGTGAGAGAAGGTTCTGCGAGTGGTGGGGCTTCGTGCAAAAGAGAGGATGCTGCTTTATCTCATTCTGGCTTGTTACCCTTGGAAAGCTATACATTCCTAACTATAAATCCCTTTTTATTAGTGGTGGAGGGTAGTGGTGTTCAATAACAGTACAAATCAAGAAAGTTAGAAGAATGGGACAATAGGCTCATGTTATCCTCCCTGAACAAAATTCTTGCATCTATTCCCATTACAACACCCTGCATGAGATGGTATAAAGGATTGAACGCTTTTATAACTCACTCATCATCATCATCATCATCATCATCATCATCTTTAATTACTTATTAATCGCCCTCCATCCGAGATGCTCCAGGCGATTTACATAGCAGAAATTATACAGGATAAAACACATACATACAAATATATATCAATTCAAAGTGCTGGCGTTGGCCTTTAAAGCCCTAAACGGTTCTGGCCCAACTTACCTATCCGAACGTATCTCGGCCTATCAGCCCACCAGGACCCTAAGATCTTCTGGGGGGGCCCTGCTCTCTATCCCGCCTGCTTCACAGGTGCGGCTGGCGGGGACGAGAGACAGGGCCTTTTCTGTGGTGGCCCCGCGGCTATGGAACGCCCTTCCCATGGAGGTAAGATCAGCCCCCTCATTGATGGTATTCCGAAGAAGATTAAAAACCTGGATGTTCGAACAGGCATTTGGTTAACTCAGTGCAATGAATGTAATGATTAAAGGACTGGCAATATGGACGACGAAACTGGATCACGATTTTAGTCAGGAGATGAATTGGATTGTTATTGATATATGAATTGTGTATTATGTTTTATGGTTTTAAACTGTATACTGTTGATTGTTATATTTTGTTGTAAACCGCGTTGAGTCGCCGGCTAGGCTGAGAAACAGCGGTATACAAGTATAGCAAATAAATAAATAAATAAATAAATAATCACTATTATAAATCTCTTATTATAAATCCTTCACACCACTTGCCACCACTGGTACCAATTATAACGTATATACTATAATATATCCTCCAGCTGTAATATCACACCACTGGACACCAGTATAAAGGAAAATACCACACCCAGTGATGGGAGGCTGGAGGCTTATTGATAATATGACTGGGCAGGATGGTTCTTCCTCCAAAGATTCACTTCTTCCCCAAAAATCCTACCCCTGTGCCTCCAATTTGGTAGCGAGATGTAGATAGATATGTGTAATGGTAGAGTGAACACTGCTTGTCTTTTAGTCTTCTTTTGGTTTAAAGCTGCCACCAACCCAAGTTGCCTTAGGATTTTTAAAATGAGTTTTTGAGGTAAACTTTTCCTACTTCTGCCAACAAAGCTCTTACCTTAGCTCCCAGAATGACTGTTTGGATAAGAGATCCTTCTGTAGTATCAGGATGTTAAAGATGCTGGAATTATCACAAAAGATTAATGATAGAATGAGGAACAATAGAGACTTTTTTGAAAGTTAAATAGAAAAAGATTTTTTTTATAAAAACAGACAACTAACTTCTTCTGAGTGGCACAAAATGCTTGACTTGTTCCAAAAGTTCCACAGCTTGATGGTTGCTAGAATGAGTTTCTTCACTTAGTTACAATCAGACAGATCTAGCTACTAGTAACCAAAAATCCCTCACTCTGCTTCAGAGAAATAGTAATGAGTTTCTGACTAACCTGTCCTAGAGTTATTAGCTAACTCTTCCAGAGTTCTTCCTGCTAACTAACTCAGTCTAGAGAGCTAATCTCTTGTGCTATCTCCCACAAGAAATCCGGTTGCTGTCTGACCCTTCTCCTGTCAGTTAATCAACCCTGTCTTACACAGACACTCTCTCCCTGAAAACCCAGTTTCAAAAACACTTCTTCACCCACCAGCTCCCAGTTCTCAACTCCAAAGAAGCTGAAATCTTTTCCCTCCTAAAACGTGGCTCCTCCCATCTGCTCTAGCCAATCCCAGGAGACCTCAAATTCCTCCCATCTTCTAACTATCCTCACTCAAGATGGCTGCTTCCCTGGCTTACACTCTCAAAATGGAGGATACTGCCATACTGTTATCCAGGTTTCTTTTCCGGCCTACTAGGTAAGATTCACTACAAATGGTCAGTTAAAGCAGAAATGTTGCCTGGCTCTGAATATGGAACCCAATGACTGAAAAGGGATCTCCCTTCTGACCTCAAGTCAATTTCCAGGGGAGAAAGGACAGAAGGAGAACTCCCAAGAAACCACCACCACCACAACAACAATTTCAGTAATGAATCATCTCAAAACATAAACACCAGATCTTAAATTATATCATGGGACTTCGGCCTTTTCAAGGATAAAAGAATGGATGACATTAGATCGGGAAAAACTGTTGGTGGCATGGATACATTTGGTACAAGAAAACTAAAACAGAGAGGAATTTCGGAAATCATTTTATAAGAGCAACATTAATAAAAAAAATTGGGATAAATACAAAAACATCCCTCTGGATCTCGTCATTAGAAGCAGGTCGTCGTATCGTGTCAGGAGTGACTCCTGGTGTGAGAGAATTGGCCGTCTGCAAGGACGTTGCCCAGGGGACGCCTGGATGATTTTGATGTTTTTTGATGTGGGAGGCTTCTCTCATGTCCCCGCATGAGGAGCTGGAGCTGATAGAGTGAGCTCATCCGCCTCTCCCCGGATTCGAACCTGCAACCTATCGGTCTTCAGTCCTACCGACACAGGGGTTTAACAGGTCAAAGAAGACTATTGGGGTGGAAAGAATTGCCAACCTACAGAGATATTTTGATGAAGAAGACTGATACTCATGAGATAAAATCACAAGATGAAATCAAAAACAGATTTGGAAACATCTCCTGGTTTCAATATAGGCAGTTAAAGGAATATTACAATAAGGATAAACCAATTGGCTTTTCAGAAGAGAAAGGTTTGGTGGGCACTGACTTTGAGTTTTGGAGTTGTAGTTCATCTACATCCAGAGAGCATTGTGGACTCAAACAAAGATAGATCTGGACTAAATTTGGCACGAATACTCAATCAAGGTCTATTTTCCCACCAGTGCTCACAGCATTTTCTGTTAGTCATGGGAATTCAGAATGCTCTGTGATTGATAAGTCCCAGCAACTACAACTCCTAAATGGCAAAATCAATCCCTTCCCCAACCCCACCAGTATTCAAATTTGGGTGTATTGCGTACTTGTGCCAAATTAGGTCCAGTGAATGAAAATATCAGATATTTACATTACATAATTTACATAATGTAAATATCTGCATATCAGATATTTACATTACAATTCACAACAATTGCAAAATTCAGCTATGAAGTAGCAACGAAAATAATTTTATGGTTGAGGGTCACCACAACATGAGAAACTGTATTATGGGGTCATGGCATTTGGAAGGTTGAGAACCACTGTTCTGCCATGTGGCTGCCCCTCAAGAACTAAACCCTGATTATCTTTTTTGCAACCTCCTTCTTATGAACAAGTCTTTTCTCCAGTAATAGAGCTTCCTGTTTTCTCCACAATTCTTGAGAAGTTTGTTCACCAACTTTTTTTAGAAATTTGTTCCCCAACTCCAGGAGGAAGTATTTATGTTTGAAAACCCCCCTCTTCTTGCTGATATAAATATCAGGGGAAATTTTGCACAGAAACGGGCAAAGCAGACTTTTTCTCGTCTGGAGACACATCTTATAGTGAAGGCTTCCTCAGCAGCAAAACCCCAAGATGGTGAGTTAAAATGCTGGGTTGTTCTAACCCCTTGCCTTAACCCTTTGAGTCCTTGTTGTTAGTATTCTAGGTGTCTAGCCCTTTGTCGGATGGGTAACAGTAGGAGACTCCATATTATCCAACATTTTCATTTATCCGACACTCTGCCGGCCTGTTTTGTCAGATAAGGGAGACTCTACTGTATTGTCAAAAGTCTTCATAATTTTATGACATGTTGATCTACGCGTTGACTGAGCAATTATTATTTAACAACCTGACAATCTTCTGTCTTTTTCAGAAATTTCTCCTGTGCTTGGCTGCCTTGTGCATGACCCTTGGATTGTGTTGGGGAGCCTGCGGGTTTCAACCTGCCACCTTGAAGATGGTAGATGGTAAGGTTATCACTGTTGGAAATCAATAGATGTCAGTGCAAAAGGGGACAATGGGAACCCAGAGAAAACATGCAGCTTCCCTCATCCTTTGTATTTTTCTCTGTTGCTTGTGCTTTATCTTTTGATATCCCTTCTTTCTCCCTTTAGCTTCCTCCTGTATCTTTGAGATCCCTTTTCCCTTCCTTGGTTTCATTTTTACCTTTTGAGAATGCTTTCTTCTGTCTTTGGCTTCTTTCTCTCCTGTTGAGATCCTCTTATCCTTCCTTCAGCTTCCTCCTTAACTTTAGAGATCAGTTTCTCCTTCCTTCAGCTTCTTCTCTAACTATTAGAATTCCTTTTTCCTTCCTAGGGCTTCCTCCTTAACTTTTGAAATCCCTTCCCTCTTCCTTTGGACTCCTCTTTGTCCATTGATGTCTCTGTCAGGCAAGTGGGCTTATTAACAAAAGACCCTCCTCAAAATGTACAACAGTATAACTTATCAGCAGCGGCGTGACCCAGTAGCACCAGTAGCCCAAAGTGATAAAAAGGACAAAAGCACACAGACCAATGTTATCTCTTCCATAGGAGGCTTTTCTTTATAGAAAAATAATATGTTTGCACTATTACTAAAACAAGGTTTCCGTAACAGGAACAAAATTCTTTATACTTCCTTCTTTGCTTCCACGCTGGGCTTCTTTCTCATGCAGATAAATAGCATTGCTCTCACATTATTATTATTATTATTATTATTATTATTATTATTATTTATTTGTACCCCGCTAGCATCTCCCGAAGGACTCGATACGGCTTACAAAGGCCAAGGCCTCAACAACAACAACAAACAATAACAATACAATGCAAGCAAATTAAAAACAAAAGCAATAACAA